CTTTCCTAACAGAGCACTTCGCTCTCAGACTGCAGGTTTACTTGTGGTTCCTGGAGTCTCTAAAAGTAGAATGGGAGGCAGAGCTTTCAGTTATCAAGCTCCTCTCTTGTYGAARRAACTTCCAGTTTCTGTCCYTGAGGCTGACACTCTGTCTYCTTTTAAGATTAGACTGAAGACTTTCCTTTTTGATAAATCCTACAGTTAGGGTTGGTTCCACTGATCAGAGGTGTGTTTGAAACATCATGCAAACAGAATGAGATCTCTTCCTAAACACTTTTATTTATTGTCTGACTTTAAACTCCTCCAGTTTCAGATGAGTTTTCACATTCAAGTAGACAGGGCCGTCATGTAGCACGCCCAGCTGAGYAAGTGGAAAATAAGGCAAGAGGGCCAAACCTGCAAGCAACATACAAGTTATACATCTGGATTTAAATTAGATAGGAACTATATTGTAATCCATCCATTACGCTCAACACATCAGCTTGTATTGGAGTTGTGAATAAATGTAATTTATTTGTAGCCTGAAAAARGGCCTGACGTCATTAAAATAAAGAAAAAACAACTACCTTTAAAATGAAAAGTCAACATGGAAGAAAACTGAAAGAAGTAAATATCTGAAGTTTGTGCATCATGAAAAAACAATGACAGTAAACAAAATATAGTCTTTAAGGCTCATCAGATCACACTCCCCCCTCCCCCCAGCAGCTGCAACATGTTCTTCATGTTGTTTGAGAAGACATTTGAGTTTTATTCAGTTAGTCCAGTTTCTGGAGGTACCGTGTATTTAACACATCAGAAGCTCCATGTTGATCCAAGATGTTTGAGTCTTTGGTCCCCCATCCATCAGAAGAGACTGAATTCTGTTCAGAGTTCCTACAAATGGCACTTTACGAACTCAAACGACCTGACTGCAGCTGGTCCTCACACCGACYACCTGAACGCTCCCTCCTTCATGACCTTTGTGCTGGCAGAACCCACAGAACCGCTCTGCAGGAGGACAGGGTGCATGCAGTTCTTAATGCAAACATTGGTTCTGATTAATGCTCATGACTGGCGTCCACACCTAAAAAAATAAACCAATACAACTACAACCCCGTCACTACTGACTATCTGTATACATATATATATGGTGTGTGAATATATCATTTACATTTGTAGGGTTTCTACTGAGCGTACCTCACATCCTACTGTACAGATGAGTTCTGATTGGTTACCGGTGCAGTCGATCACAGTAACACGACTTCATGGACGTTATTTGCAGGTACATTCAGGACTCTGTCAGAAGCCTCACAATATTCTTTACAATTTATTAAAAATACAGAGAAACAAAAATACTGGAGCAYTCCACCGTCCTGCAGAGGCTGCTCCAGAGATCAGTCTCTTCATTCTGTACGAATCTCTGTCTCTGGCCTCTGAAGGCCCAGTTCAAGCTGGATGAAGGCTCCCTGGCCCAGTGCTGTGGAGTAGGCCCGGTTGTTGTGGCTCACTGAGAAACCTCGGGTCGGGTGGGACTTGGAGCCTCCGTGTTTTTGAAACGAGGCCTGAGGCTGAGGTACTGGGTGGTAATCGTCCAAGTTGTCGTAGTGGGACTGCGCAGACTTGGCGCCGTGCTTCTTGTAGACGTAGTCTCTGTCCAGGTCCGGTTTGCTCTGACTGTAGGTCTGCTCCTCTTGGACCACGTGGGCCTGCTCCCGGGGACCTGGATCGTCTGTACCGTGGTAAGAACTGGATTTGCCTTTCATCTGGGGGTGCTCAGAGTCAGGGCACTCGTAACGAGGTTGGAAGTTCTTCTTGCCTGGATGGTCCTGCCAGTGTTTGGACCTGCTGACCTCTCTGGTCTTGGGGTCTTGTTGGCTGGCCTCCTGCTGATGGGACACACCGTGGCCCAGAGAGGCAGGGACGGAGTGGGACGACGGGCATTTCTTGGAACTTGGTCTAGAAAGCGTATCGGACCTGTCTCCGGCTCCGCTGCCGTGTTTCTCGGTCTCCATGTAGACGAAGACGTCAGGGTCCGACACCATGTGCCTGGGCAGGTAGCGGCCATCTTTGCTGTCGGCTGCTACCAGCACTGCTTTACCTGGGTCTGATTTACTTCGCAGGTGCAAGGTCTCGTACCCCGACACATCTCCCAGTGGGAAGAGACCCACGTTGTCGTACTGGGAGAGGACGGGGCCTCTCACCTTCAGTCTGGCCCGGCCCTCCCTACGGAGGGAGTGCATGTGAAGCCTCTCCAGATCCTCTGGATCCCAGTGGGAGTATGCAGACGTTTCCTTGCCCCTGTGACCTGGGGGCATGTCCCTGCTGACGAAGCTGTGCTCCTTCCCAGGGGGGAGAACATGACCAGATAGGTAGTGGTACCCAGTGGTCTTCCCCGTCGGTCTCCCAACAGCAGCTTTGGCGTCTCGGCTGCTGTGAGAGTGAACATGCCGGACTCGGATAGTGCCGTAAGGGTCTATGTCGTAGTAGGGCGCCTCTAGGGGGCCGGAACCAGAGTACGGACTGTAGCGATAGTGGACCCGTCCGTTCTCAAAGTAAGGCTGCAGCTGGGTGACGTGGTAGTCCGCCTGTGAAGACTGGTGGGGGGGCTGCTGGTAGGCCTTGCACTGATACCCAGGCTGATAGTAGAAGAACAGATCTTCCTCTGGGGGAACCTCGGTTCTTTGGATGGGCACGGAGCGAATATTGGAAGGGACGTGAAGAGAGTGCACCCTGCGGATGGTGGGGTAGCCATGGACTCTGTCATGGCTGTAGCCCTGGTGACCCGGCCCTGGTGATACATACACACTCCGGGGGTTTCCTCTCACCTTCATGGAGTGGTGGTACGACCTAGGTCCTAACGTGCAGTACCGTTGATCCCCTCGGGTGCTGTAAGGTATCTGAGACTCAGACTTGGATATGTAGTCTGCTCTGTAATGGTGAGGAACTGATGGTGGGGCCACATGAACTGCTCTCTGGTGGTAGTATGTTGCTCCTGGAGGTTCAACGAGAACCGGTTCTCCTTTGACGTGGTACAGGTGGGCCGGCTGGTGCGTGGAGGATTTACGAGGAGATGGCGGATGAAGGGGTGGAGCTTCCTCCGGGTGTCCGGGCTGGGGGGCTTCATTCAGGACGTGATAAGAAGCTTCACTTTGGCTCAGAGCTGCTGTGGCCAGTTTGCTCTCCATGGTGCGAGTGGGAGGGGCCGGGGGGGTGGGTCCACAGGGTGCAGGGGGTTTTACAGCCTCGGTAGAGGGCTGCACCGGCTTGATGGCCTCCCAAGGTTTCTCAGCAGGTTCAGCAGAGGTGGGTGCTACCCTCGCACTGGCCTTGGACTGATGAGGTTGGGACTGGGTCTGTGTGGGAACCTGTGCTGGAAGACGAGGTTGGATCTGAGCTTGGTTCTGCTGCTGGGTTTGTGCTCGGAGCTGGGGAGGAGAAACCACCTGTTTCTGAGGTTTCTGAGCTGTGGGTGGCTGCTCTGGTGGTTTTAGAGGGACCGGGACTGATGCCGTCTCTTCAGCTGGGATCTGAGAAAAGAATCACACACAGACCAAAAAACAGGTTTAATTTGTTGCAGTTTCCCCGTCTGCAGCTCAGCTCAACTACTACAGACTAACGCAGCACTGATACCAAGAAATAATGACAAGAGAGGGGTGTGGCCCAAACAAACAAACAAACAAAAACAGCTGGTGTTCATATCCATCAGTGTATCAGTGTCATGAGGCACCTGGACAGGTCTCCAGTCATCACAGGGACACATTAGGTGATTTTACATTATAAGGCAAGGCTCAACTCGACTTGGCCCACCCCCTGCTGTCGGCCTGCCCCCTGCTCTCGGCCCTCCCCTGCTGTCGGCCCGCCCCCTGC